GACAAAATCAGACTTTTTGTTTATTAAAAAAATACTTTACAGGAAAAAAATTTCTATGCATTCCGCCGGACTATTTTACAAAGAAATAGCTTAACAGTTTGACACTGGTGTATACAGTCAGCTACCGACGGCGCGGGGGGGCCGCGGGGCCGCCCCCGCACACGCGCCAAGGGCAATAAATACAACTAAGGCCGCACAAAGCAAACAGTCGTCCAGGCAATTGTACACGTCCTCTGCAGGCAGAGACCTCGGATAAATTAAAACCACAGAAAAAAAAAAAAAATCATCGTAGCTGCCAATCAAATCAAATGAAATCACCAAACAGCAATACAGGAGTCGGTATCTTTACATGTTGTACAGAGAAATCGGGAGGAGCTGGGGGTGGTTGTGTGAATGCTCGCAGCGCCCTGGACGCTGCTCAGAGCACGGGTCACATCCCTGGGCAGCACGAGAAGGTCCAGAACAGGCTCTGGGGGAGAACAAACAATCCTTCTCCTCCTCTCCTGCCCCCGCAGCCAGCGCAGAGCTGCCAAGGCTCAGCACCCCTCGGGAACTGCAGCTCCAGAGTTTATCTGGATTCAGATCGATGAAGGGCTTGGGGAAAGCTCTGACACTTTGCCTCGTCCAGGGGAACTGAAGTGTAACCTGGCAGAGCACAGCCCAGCCCTTTTTCTGGATCTACACCTGTGAGAAGCGTTCCTTATAAATCCCCTGCGAACACCTCGTGTGTGTCCCCTCCTTCCTGGAAAGGACCATGTCAGGTGTCTGCACAAAATGACTTGGAGCTTGTCTAAGCAGAGAGGAAACCGAAGCCAGCCGGCATTTCAGCTTTAAATTGCACTTGCAATCCCTTTCTAGCACTGCCTTTAACCCTATAATGTTTTAATCCCCAGAACTTTTAAATAAAGTAGGGCCCAAGCTCAGTTGTATGTCTCAAAGCTGAGCCCTCTATGGACAGAGCACTTGGGCAGTGACAGTTGTCTCCAGCATAAAGCAGGAGCATTTTCTACCCATCACCTGACACATATCACAGAGCAGATCCTCATAAATGGAAAACTGAGGATTCACAGTAACAGACCAGCACATTCATATTTGGGAACTGTATCTATCTGGGTTCCACTGAGAACCAGAGAATCTAAATGGGTTGGAAGGGACTTTAAACTCATCTTGTTCTACCCCCTGCCATGGGCAGGGACACCTCCCACTAGACCAGGTTGCTCCAACCTGGCCTTGGACACTTCCAGGGTTGTGGCATCCACAACCTCCCTGGGACACCTGTGCCAGTGTCTCACCACCCTCACAGTGAAGTTTTTTTTCCTAATAACTAACCTAAACTTCCCCTTTCAGTTTGTCCCCATTCCCCCTCATCCTGTCACTCCAGTTCCTGATGAAAAGTCCCTCTGTCTTCCCTGTAGGTCCCTTCAGATCCTGGAAGGAGCTGTGATGTCTCCATGCTCCTTCTCTTCTGCAGGCTGAGCAGCCCCAACTTTCTCAACCTGTCTTAGAACAACCCTTAATTATCTCATTAAGGAGGCTGCTCCAAGAAATCTTAGAGGAATTCAAATAGCAGCTATTTAACATGAGATATTCAGAAATATTTACTTCGCCCTACCCAGAGATTTGTTCTGCTCAATCAGTAAAGTGGCTTGAACTCGTTTCTTCATCTCTAAACAGCTGCAGCTCACTAAAATCAGTGTCCCACAGGTCTTGTTCTGGAAAACATTTGCACCTGTGCCATCAGGGCCTTGTTCTGACTCTGCTCTGCTGTTTTCAGTGCAACTGAAGCAATGGCTGGACAGTGACCAGCTTCCCAAGCAATCCCTGTTGTACTTTACATCCAGAGGTGAGGTGGAGTTTGAAAGTCTGTCAGTCTGGTTAAAGCACAACAGAGGTGAGCATGGATTTAGTAAGAGGTTCTCAAACAGCCCCTCTCTCCCTGAATCTTCCAAACATGCATCAGCAACATTCAGGTCATCCAGAGATACCTTTTTTAATGTGCATTTTAATCTGACATTAGGCTTTATGTTAGTAATTGAGCAGAGCACAGAGAGCAGGATGCTATTGGTCATGTCCCTCCACCCAAGAGGCAGTCAGAGCATTTTCCAGGTATTTCAGGCTGTTGTCACAGATTTCACTAAAGCTACAGTTTGGAAGGTAACATCAACCACTCTGGTCTTAACTCATTCCTTTGAAAACATGCTACTAGAATTTACAGTGGATTTCCAAATGGATTCCCTCTTCACTCTGTTTCAATTTCCCCAATAAAAGAGACAAGTGGGTCAACGGGGGCTCAATCTGTTTATTCTGCCTTTCAAGTCAAGCTTGTGGTCTCTGCAGGTTTGTCAGTTCCTGAGTGATCAGTGCTGGCTGCCAGGGAAGGGCCACCTCAGGATGTGCCTGCACTGCCAGGGCAGAGGAGCAGCACGGGAAGGGTGGAACGGGCACTTGGAAGACTCGCAGACTTGGTCAAAAGGAAAGAACAACCCTTGGGAAATACAACCTCTGAATGTGAAGGGTGAACTGAAAGCGCTATTGCCTGTGAGGAATTTTACTTTGCACAACCCTTAAAGCTATGAAATTCCTCTCAACATAAAAAGTGGAAAAAAACCCACCAGAGAAGTGACGGCTCGTTTCGGAACCGCGCTGAGTCATCTAGAATTTCTGCTAAGATTAAATTACACCCCTGCATGAATCACATTACTTCTCATCATAAAAGCTTTCCATTCTAACACCTTATTTACACAGATTACTAAACGAGTCACTACCACTTCAATCTGTAAATTAGTTTTAAAATTGAAATATTTCCTAGTCCTCATTTTTGTACCGAAGACAATACATACATACACATAAGGAATAATACAGGTTCTAACTAATCACTGCAGTATCTTCTGAGGATTATTTCTCTATCAGTTTAAAATAGTGACCTCTACACTGAGGTGCTAATATGTATATAAAAGCCTACACAAACAATATTGCACAAAGTAAGATTTATAATAGAGTAACATATTTTAGAGACCCTTATAAAGAGAAGAGTAATAATTGATATTAAAAAGATGCATCCAGAACTAACACAGCATCTTTGCTTTTGTCTAGTCTAACATAGTGTTTCAAATCTTTCCTACCCCAGTGAGGATTAGAACAAATAAAGTTATCTGGAGACAGCTTAAGTTGCACCAAAACCCAACTTGTACTCTAGATGTGGGGGAAGGGGGAGGGAGAGGGAAAAGGGACAGGACTTTTCCTTTTGATGACTGGAAAGGGCAGTAATAAATGGGGTGAGTGAAAGTCAAATACAGATTACACGTCAACATCCAGAAATATTGAAAGATTGTTTAAAAACTGTTGATAGCTGACACTCTACACATTGAGCACGTGCCACTGATTTTTCCACAGTAACTGGGTGCCCAGGAGCTACACATGGAAAAAGCAGTCCAATGCCATAATACTTTTTATTTGTGAAATACTAATACAGAACTTACACAGTAAGGCTGTCCTTATTCTAGGAAGTCAGGTATCAACTCAATGCTTATTATATTAAGTGCATCAGTACAAGGGAAAGTGTGGATCCATTGGACACGTTACGACCCGATCAAAACAAGCTGCCAAGTTGGTTAAGTATTTTAAAGCCTTAAAGTGCTCAAAGATAGCAGTTTCCTCCACAAGACTACCAATAGGTTCTCTAATTTTGACACTAGTATTTACCACGTTCAGGGAAGATGTATTTTGGAAGCAAAAACCCTCACACCAAACAACATAAGCAGTGCTATGAGAAGTGTTAGGTCAGTAAGTCATTGCATTTCAACAGGATCAGACACTTGCTTCAGTTCATTTTACAGGTCACCCTTGTAGGAACTGTGAGAAACATCAATTTCTATAGCTTGTATATAAACCAACATGTCAAGAACAGACATACCAAAAATTCCACAAATCATCAAAAGTGCTGTGCTTTCTCTATTTTTTCTTTTTCTTTTTTTTTTTTTTTTTTTTTTAACTTTTTTTTTAAGCAATTAAAATGGAGATGAAGAAGTCACTTTGCAAGTCTTCTACAAAAGCATCACTTTCTGGTGAAGATTAGAGATAAAGTAAAAGTAGGGAAATAACACTGACCAATGGAGTTCAACCATTTCATGTTCCTGGAGGAATTTCAATCTGACTTTGAGAAGATATTCAACATCTCTTTACTTAAACAGAAAGAAGTGGTAGACCACTGTTACAGGTTGTACTAAGGGGTTAAAATACAACTTGAATTTTGCATAATCTGTGTAAAAAAGATATGCTTGACATTTTGGAATGTCACCTTTCTTTATAGAATTATAGGCAAGATTTCTCCAATAAAACATAAGCCAGTTATAAAACTATAACTTCACATCAAAATTTTAAAAAGTTGTTAAAAAAACATTTGATTATATACATATCACACAGAAGAGCCTGCATGATCCTGTGGATTGTGTTGCTGATCAGACTCTATTTTAAAACCTGGAAGGGGCTGGGCCACCTGATCTGGTTGCACAAGTCCTGATATTGAAGAAACAGAGGAGGAGAGCACCCCTGGGGTAAGCTGAACTTCTATACCTGGGTCTTCAGACTCTATTTTTACACTCACACCTTGGGGTTCACCTTCTGCCTCTGTCTTTCCAGGAATATTACTGTTGAGGCTTGAATTGCTGTCTGCATTTGGAGAATTCTCCCCCACCACGGGGTGATACTGTTTAAGTCTGATGTGCCAGGCTAAGCTGCAGACTGCTGACACTGTTTTGAACTGATGAATGACATTTCTAGGGATGAAGTAGATGTCATTGTCACACAACTGAATTCTAGCATAGCGAATGCCTTCCCGTCTCATTTGGTTTAGTTTGGCTTCGTCCACCCATTGAACACACTGGGAGAAGGAGAGATGGGAAAGTTAGTGGTAGACTCTTCAAACAGTTCAAGTATCCTCCTATTTTCAACTTAATTCATGTCTAAATCAGAATGTTCCTGTTTCGTGGGTAAAAATTCAAATTTAACTGAGGATTGGATGTTTAAAGTGCAACTTAGCCAACGTGCACATCTTGGGAGAGGAGAATGAAGTGAAGAGGATTCTCTAGTTACAGTTGAAAACAGTAGGTGTGACATGGGCTGCATTGTTTGGGCTGACAGGACTGAGCTGAGATGTCTCCACCTCTTAAGACAACATCAGACATTAGAAAAAGCAGGAACAGGCACACATGACTTCTTAATCAACACACTGTTTCTACAGCACATACTGTGACTCACAGCATAAATCCCAGCTGGGAGGAAAGGAAAAGAAAAAGGTCCCGTCCAACTGAACTATTCTATCCTGAAACACAAGGAAATTGCCCAAGAGAGTGAGAACTGGGGATACCAAAGAGCTGGCTATAGAGAGAACCTGAGATCTGCCAGAAACTACTCCCAGAACACTAAGAATGAGCTGCCACGAGGGAAGATCCAATACCTGTGACACTGGAGGTTCATGGAGGTCCAGCTGAAGTCTCTGCACAACATCAGTGAAGTCTTCAGCATGAAAGCAAACCACATCTTTGGTTATACGAGGCTGGTCACTCCTAGAAAAGATGAGAATTCCAGGAATTTTTAGAGAATTTGAATTACAGCTCTTTCCAGCAGAAAGTTTCACTGAACCAACAACCTTCCTCAGTTCTACACTGTGCACAAAGTCTTATCACTTCTCAAGACATGTATTTTGAAAAAGGGGTATAATTCACAGATTTCTCTTTTTTCCCCACTTCTTTCTTGCTGCCTTCACACCAGACGTGATGTTTTCAGGGACAATATACCAAAATGATCAAGAACTAGGTTCAAAATGCCACTACTAAAGTTCTCTGTGTTCTAGGAACCACAGTTTGCCTCAATTCTTCCATTTTATAATTGGACAGAATAATTCTGCATTAGAGGAAAAATGTAAAATAACCAAGTAACTCTGCAGCTGAAGCAACAAGGAGCTGGATTTTATTCAGCAGCTGTGAACCAGAGTGAAGGAAGTCCTGGCACCTTTTATTCATACAAAAATCTAATGGTACTGCTAATGATTCAATCCAATTCCCACTGTAATTTCTGGCAATTACAGTGATGCAAGTCTAGTTTCTCTGCAAGGTCACCAGCAATATCCTGGGTACACGACCTGAGAAGGCACTGCAGCTGTGACATTAATTACACTGAGTTCTTAGATTACTGTTACAGAAGCTGGAATTAATACACCTGCTCAGGAAACGAACTATCAGGGATGATGGTCCAGGCATGGTATTTTAAGGCTTTTATATATCACTAAAATATTCTGCAAACTGCTGTTGCAATCTTTTAATGCCTCAAGAGGGGAAAATAGCAGGTATACAGCTTGTGGTTTTCAGCTCTAGGCAGCTTTTATCTTATCAGATAAAATCAGATTTCTGATTAGGCTTGTTTTCCAAGGAATTATTTTATTTTTTTTTTTAAGAGAAGGTGTAGAACAGCTGCATTCCAGCAGCACTTACCATTCCCCAAACTGCACAGCCTTCAGGACCCCGACAGCAGCCGTGCTCTGCCAGTCAAAGCCTTGCCCCACGTGGTCGGCGTGAGCTCTCGTCCTGTCCTCAAACAGGACCTCGCGGGGCTCGCTGGTCCGAGGTAGGTACTGCAGGTTCTTTATCTCGTTCATCGACCTAGAATGTCATAGAAACACACACTGAAAAACGTTTCAGGCTACTCAGAAGTAAATATTTGTGTTAATGTAATCTGAAATGCGTGCTGGAGGCTTGAAAAGAACAAAGCGCTTCCCTCCGATTTCTTCTCGGTTTTGTTTTGACCTTTTGCTGAATAAAAACAGCAAAGTACAATTCAGGTTATGAGATCAAACTTCATAAAACAAATCCAATCACTCACGCTGGAAGAGTTCCTCCAGGAATTGAATGGTATGCAAAATAGAGCTATCTTAATAGAACCTGAACTTCAATGAGTTGGGAGTACATCAAAAAATCCTCCCTGAAATGACAATTAAAATATGCTTACAAGTCTCCTGAAATTTGTTCTTTTTCTGAGAAACATGTAAGTACACCCCAATATTTCCTGAGCAGGCAGACAGTACTACAAGTGCTTTAGCACTAACATTAAAATGCAGCACGAGCAGTGTAAGGATCTCTGCTGTTTTAGAGCTGCCCTCACCACAGAAATAAGATGAATAAAATAAGCCTCCTGAAGGATAATGAAAGAGGTTTTTAATCTTAAGAAAGCACTGATCTAGGACATAAAAGTGGTGAAAGAAGATAACCATCACAAGCAACATTTGTTTTATCAGCTGAGCCGATTTGAAACAAAAACGAAAGTGACTCTTAAATCCGAAATTAGCCATCTGAAGAACCATTTACACATCAAGTACTTCCCTCTTGTTCTCAAATCCAACACAGACACAACTGCAATGGTTTTCCTCTCTCACTCGAGGCAAGCCAAGCCTTACCGGCGCCGTTTGAAGGGCGATTTTGGCATATCAGCTGTGGGGATCATCTGCTCTCCTGGCCTCACCCACATGATGGGCCCGTCATCGCTCTGGGACCGGCACTGGAGTCGGAGACTGGAAAGAGTCCCCCAGGGCAGAGTCATCTGAAAAGAAAAGAGAAACAAAACAACCCACAAAACACACATAACACAGAACACTGGGTGAGATAGAAAAATTAAATGACGCCTTTGGTAAAACTGGTTCGAATTTGCTGTCAAAAAACTGCATAGAAACAAAATAAGTTTGAGAGGTAAAATATAGTCTGAGCTAACTTTATCAAATTCAGTTTTCAGGGAAGCACAGAATTATGTAGTGCATATATATGATAAACTATAGTTTTTAATTATTTACACAATTGTAGCTACCTTATTCCATACCTCTCAACTGGACACAGGAAAGAATGAACCTCAGTAGCCCAAACAAGCACATCAATAAAGAAAACACCTTTCGGTTTCTAATTACTTTGAAATATGTGAAACCTAGTAATTGCTTAAATATCTGCAGTGCTCTGAACAAACCACAAGTTGCTGCTTACTCTAAGAAATGGAGATTCTTCCAACATATCTAGAAATTCTGGGAAGTAGTCCCCCACTTCTTCATCCACTGCTCCGACCAGGCTGATCTGCCGCATGGGTCCTGCTCTGTAGGTGCCACAGCAGTACGTCCGATTGACCTGGGGGCCCAGAGAGGAAACACAACACCACCACAGCTTTAGTTCTGCTGCAGGACAGTCACACTAACACAACACACTGGGCCACAGCTGGACTCCTCTACCTCTATTTCAGTAGCTGTGCCCTTGGGAATAGGCACGGGGATTGTTTAGAACACATGCCCACAGGGCATCCCAAGAGAAACAACTCCTGCCTGCACTCCTGACAGGAAATCCTTCTCCAGTTTGAATAACAGCAAGTGAGTATTTGACTAATTCAGGAACAATTCAACACTTCCAGGCTGACTTGAGCAAACAACCACACAAGGTTTCCTTGTGACTCAGTCTTTCACCAGCAGGCTCCAGCTCTCCACTACTTTGTACAGCTGACTGTTGTTTCTACATTTCAAACCGGATGCCCCTGGAATACACACACTCTTCATTCCAGTCTTGTCCCAGAGGTCCTTCCCCTGGGACTGCTGTGAAAAATCTGTGTCCCTCATGCAGGGGCCCTGGCCATGTTGTTATAATGTATACACACAAAACTGGACAAGAAACTGAGGAAACAAGAGGTTTAGCCAGAAACCCAGTGCTCATGAACAACTTCAGGATAACCATCAGCAGTAGAACCTGCTGCCAGTGCTGTGGCCAGAAATGCTTTAATCTCACTTACAGCCCTTGGACATCCTCTGGAGCACAGACTGTCCCACTTTCCAAGGGCATCTGGAAATTTTTCTTACCAATTTCCTGTTCCTGGAGGAGAACCCCTGGCAAGGCCCCAGTGTTCTCCAGCCTCATCCTATGGACTGCAGCTGTAAATCCCATATGGCCACAGAGCAGGTTCCATGTAGGTACCACAGGTATTTGATGTTATAGAGTAGAAATGTTGCCATAATTAGTCTGTTTTGCACACTCAGTTGTGTTTGAGCCCCAACCTTCCCTCTGTGTTCGAGTGCTTCCCAGGGTGAAAAACTCCAGCTGTTCTCTATGGCTGAGTGGTGGGACAGAGGATTACTGCTAAATTGGCAATTTTAGTCATGTTCAGAACGGGTGATGCCTTTTATTACTAACTCCATTTATAGATATGTGGATGCAGCAGCTTAGTTTGAAGTTTAGTTTCAGTTTTGCATGTTTAATCAACAAACCAGATGTTATTAAATTACTCCATGAGGTTGCTAAAGGTAAATTAGGAGAGACTAATTAGGGAAAAATAGAGTTACTGCTGCAATTTTATTTTCTAACAGCAGCCATAGACATTTAGCTTCTTAATTATAGGAGTTTAGCTCACTCTACTCACTGAATGCAGTTCAGAGCAGGAGCACTGGAACACCACAGCAATATTCCAGTTCTGTGCACCTACAGGGGAACTAGGACTGAAATGTTCTGGTCCTTAAGTCAGCAAAGTTTAACTGCCTGGCACTATTTCTGTGACCACTTCCAGATGAGATCTGCTCTACTGAAACCACCTGTTGAGAGTCACAAGTATTTCACAGGTGTTTGTCACAAGTTAAAATGAATTATGATTCCATATGCAGTTTTTCCTTGTAATGTTTTCAAAGGAAATGAAAAACTAGAAGCTTTAAGTTTGGAGGGGGTTTTTTTAATGCACTGGAACACAATGGAAAAAAACCCAGAAGAATTCAAGAGTTATAAAGGGGACAGTAGAAATACTTCAGGGAAATACTGGATTTTAATGTTTTGGTAGTTTTTAATAGAAATGAAATACATTTACTGGAGAATTAAAACCAGAATTACTGTTGTGTAAGGACCATGGGGCCATGGGGCCACTGTGCCCTTTCAAATGCCACACTACCCTGGGTATCCCCTGCTCCACACACTCCACACTGACAGTGAGTTACAGGCATGTTTAAATTTAGCTCTTCAGTGCTCAGGGAGACATTTTCTTGCAGCTGCATGATGTGCCTATCAGTGTTCCCCACACTTGGGTGAGAACAGGAACAGACAGCACCAGTGTTTCCTGTCCAAATCACAAAGCTGGTATTTATTTGCATGTCCCTGAGCCACCCCAGCCCCTGCCCTGCCTCTCCAAGGGTTAAGTGAGCAGCAAAACCCCAAAGGGTGAGAAGAGGACACACAGATGAGGCATCAGCTGGAGACAAACGAGGTTAATTCTCAGAAGTTTCTCTCCAGTTGTAAGAAAAGCACGAATGAGTTGACAGTGCCAATATTTCAACATGCCAAGTCAGCTATAAAACCAACCACACAAACACTTGGCTGCAAGGAAGAAAGCAAGAGCACAAGGGGGTTACTACTGACAACAGAGGGCCAGGACAGTGACATGCCAGCACAGCAAGGGTGACATGTCTAACTACAGTGTGACATACTGCAGCCAGACCACTGGGCAGTGGCTGTGTGGCTCTAAGGACAAACTACCTGAAGTTTGCAGTACAGATGCACAATTTCTCCACTTCACACTTTGGTAGCTTCTGCTAAAAAAAGGAACTGCCATTCCAGAATAAGAGAAGCTCACGTGGGGGAGACAATCAAACTGTGATGTGGTTCATTAACCAAAGCTGGCAGGAACAGAAGAACCTTTTCTGACAGCAGGAGTAGGAAAAAATCTCCAGTTATCACCTGCTGGCTGCTTCTCCCCAGAAGGAACAACAGCTTATGCAAAACCTACTTCCCCAGCTCTTTCCTGGCCTCTTCCCAGAACCCCCACTCCTCTGTGACAGCCTAACTCTCCTTTGGATCAGAGAAAGAATCCAACAGGCAGCTGATCAGTTTTTTCTTGGGGGAAAAAAAGTAGAAGTCTAAATATATTCCAATTCACTGAGTTGAACTAGAAGCAGTTGTACTGAAGCAAGTGATAAGGAAAATGAGAACTCATTCTAGCTGCACTGCTAAGAGCTTCCAAATTAAATTGTGCCCTTAAGTGAAGAAAGCTTACAAGGTAATGCTCAGTGATTTGAGTCTTTAAAGCTTGTAGCCCAAGTGAACAGCTCCAAACTAAAGCTCAGCTTCAGTACTAAAGTAGTAGAACCAATGGGAGCCAATGCAAGCAAAAAATCCAGAAGACATTTAAGCGTAATTATTTTAAGATTCTGAAAACAAACATTTATGCTCCAAGCACATACTGGAGTGCTTGTTATAAACTCACTGCCCTGAGAACAAAGGAATTCCCCTGGCAAGGCAGTTAATTATCACCAGACTTTTATCAGTTCTTCCAGATTAAAGTCCTTATTTTGAACTGGAGACACTTCCTACTAAAATTCAGTTTCTCTGAAAAGGTACATAGAACAGCTTAATGCTGCATAAGCCAAAGGTCACATTAACTTGTAGTTTACAGATCAAATCTTTATTTCTTGAGACTGAGTCTACAGGACTCTACACTACCTAATGCTCAAAATCCCCTCACCACAGGATGGGTCAGTGCAGCAAACAAGAAGAAGAAACACAGAATGGAGGTGACTTCATTATCTTCAATTAAAAATAATCAGTGTTACAGCACACAACAGTGTAACATGCTTAATCTGCAAAAGCATAACTACAAAGTGCTTTTGTGCTGTACAGTTTTTATACAGAAGGGTCAAAAGTGAAGCCTGGCCAGTCTGTTCTCTGGAACAGCAGCAGCAGCACAACAGGCAGGCTGATCCCCCCAGCTCTCTCAAGCAGGGCACTGCGGCCTTCTCCATTTCCAGAGAAGCCAGCCTGCAAAACTTGGGTGAACCCACCACCAGTTTAAATGCTTCCTTAAACTTAAGCACCACGTGTATTCCCTGCAGAGCCCCTTTTCGGGTGCCTGTGACAGCTCCTGTGCTGTTTGCTCAGAGTGAAGGACAATAACATACTTCAGCCAGAGAGGATTAACCAGGTCATGCTGGAGCTGGGTTTAGAGAAGTGGTTTAGACCAACTGAACCTTATGTCATGACTCAATCTTAATCAAGTTTAGACAGTACTTAAAATAGAATTAATTGAAGTACCAGCGCAGATTATAACCCAACAAAGCCTCTTATTTATTACCATACATTCCTCACGTGTATTTATAGTACCAGCATTCATGTTCACAGGACATTCACCGAGGAAAAATGCAATTGTTAAATATCCCAGTGGCTCTGTTAAGCCATTTTAGTGGTCACCACATGCACTTGAGTTAGAATGCAACCATGACACCAAATAACACAGACATATCACTGATCCTGAAGACTTTAAAGCCCAGCCTGGGGACAGGTTTCACATCTGCAGCACCCAGATGCACACGTGCTCCTGCCCATAGCAGAGATTGGTTTTGGGGTACTCTGCACTCTGACAGCTCTGTCAGCACCAAGAGTTACTTAGAACAAGAAACAGAGGCTGGTTAAAACAAGTGCAGCAGCAGCTATTTGTTGTCAAACAAATTCATAAGCCAAATGTCAGAATGATTCATTTAATGGTATTCAAAGACTCCACAGTGACCATGCAGGAACTTTCTGTAAAGTAGTAATTGTTTTTCCAATGCAAATCTTGCTTATAAGCATTTGGTAAACCCTGGAGAGATCCAAACAGCCCATTCACAAGCATTAACATTTCAAAATCTGTTGCTAAAGGTCTATTCCTATAGTAGGGAAGTGCACTCCACTACAGAGTTTCAGATTTATCCTTCCAGCAGGTGAACCAGTAAATGTAATTAATGTCTTGAATAAAGAGTTTAAGAGTAATCAGCAGTTTGAATCCGTTCTCAGACTAAACAGAAAGCAGCTTTATTCCATCTAAAATAAATTTATCTAAATTCTAATCTTGTTGTACGCTCATAGATATTTCTGAGTTTGATCACAAGATTAAAATCCAACGAGTTTTCACACAGGAATCTTGAAATTAGCTTAGTTTTTACTGTTGCATCCATTTAAGTTACATGGAGATACAGTTTCAGAATCTAAGCTAGTTTAAGCCTACTATGGAAACCAGGGTAACACATAAAATGAAAGTCCAAGGGAATTAAAAAGATACTCTAACCACTTCCAAGTTAGGAAGTCTAGACACCCAAAATCAGCTGCTGATAGAATTAAGATGTTTAAAAAAAAAAAAATTGTGAATGATATACTGAAACCTGAGAAGTAATGTTATTGCAAAAAAAATAAATAATAAAAAAACTCAACCCAGATCTATTGAATAAAAACCAAGTGTTAGCATTTGCAGTCTTTGCAACTCTCGATACAGACTTGGCTGTTGTTTTGAACAATCTCAGTGTTTTCCCACGTTTAGAAGAAAGAGATAATCAGTGCAGATCTTTCCTCAGGTCACAGATAGCAGTGTCTGAGGTGTGAATCATCAACTACCAGTGAGCTTTTAAGCAGAAACAGGAATAAACATCACAGTGCACACGTCTTTTTCATCTGCTTAGAACATGAATTTGTGACTCACGTATTTTAAGCCAGCCCTGCTCTGGATTAATGAGATTAATCAAATCTAGGTGCTGTGTAACTTTTATGCCTGTAAACAGTTCTTACCTGAGAATGAAAATTTGAAATTGTTGTTGTTTCAATGTCCTTCTTGCCCAAAATTTCCATTTTCACTGGAGTGTTAGGAAAGTTAAAAGCAAAGTAATCCAGGAAGTCTGGTAAATAAGCAGCTGCTCCGTGGACTATGGCTAAGGCATAGTAAGCTGCATTTTTATCATTTTCACTGAACGACAACGCAAGAAACTCTTCTGCAAATCTCTCCATCTCCACTGGAGACAAAAATGAGAGTTCATCCATGTAGGCATGCAGGACCAGAGCCCCTCCATTGGACTGGTGTTCCTCGTGAATGAAGTTACTAAATTTAGTGCCAGTCTTCAGGAAGCTGCTGCGAACAGAGTGCTCCTGGTGTGTCACAAACGGTGTTTGTACTCCCTGGGGTATCCGATACTCCTGCATCCCCAAATTCAGTCTGCAGAGCTGCTCATCCTTCAGGTACCTGAAGGACTCCTTGTTCATTTCCAAGCTGTCACACTGGCCTTGAGACAGAGTCTCTTTGTCGATGCGGGTGAGCCCAGCGCACACGGTCTGCACCTCTTTGTTGTACATCTTCAGGCGTTTCCCCCTCACGTCTTCCCGGTGTTTCTTTTTCTTTTTTTTCTTTATCTTCTTCATAATAAGACTGTCAGCTCGCTGGGTTTTGCCATTTTCGTCTGGAGTTTCTGGCAGCAACAATAAAAGAGAAGATCAGAGTTCTGCAGCTGCAGCATATCCACCCCAAAAGAATCCAGCCCCCTCACTTGATCTGACCAGTAGTAATACTTTTGACTTAGACAACCAAAAATGCAGTATTTCTAGTACTACATAAATAAAGACTCAAGCTTATTATTTTAGAAATATTTCCATTTTTAACAGATTTATCAGAATGCCTTTAAAAGGAGTCTGTATTTCAGGACATCTATAATTAAGTACATTAATAACTTCTGACATTTAAGGCAGCGCCATGCAGGGGAAGAGGACAAACAACATGTGTAACATTTAGACATCAAGACTTTCATTACAGAACATTTCCCTGATTTTGGACACGTGATATAGAAGCAAAACAGCACAGTTGAAGAGGTACAAGTGTTACTGATATTTAGGAGGTAAAAATATTTAAATCCTAGGCTGTTGATCTTTTGAATTAAAGGACCCAGATCATCACATCCACAGTTTCAGCTATCTGCTGCTAGTCTTATAGTTAACTACTCGGTTAATGCAGAGAGAGAAATAAGAGGCTGTTTTGGGGGTTTCTTTAAGGTTAATCACCCTGTAAAAGCCTGAGAGGTAAAATGTAAAGAAGTAGCTCTGTTAGGCAAAATGTAATAGTTTAAGCCACTTAATCTTTCAAGAATAAAAACTAGTTTAAATGACATTTAGCAAGTGACAAAGGTAGTTAGAAAACCTGATGCTTCAGCTGTTAAAAACTCAATTCCCAAGACAAGATTTTAATGTGCCCGAATCAAAGAACTATTTCCTCCAACAATGCCCATAAATCTCTGTTACCAGGATAGCCACGGGAATCAGAACAACCTGCTGCTGAAGGCAAAACCCGACCAGAAGGTGCAGTAGCTAAAGTTGCAGTTTTCCCCTCAGCACAGGGTTTTTTGTTAACAAAAATTCCCTTTCCTGGGCTGCAAATTGGTATCCTTCTCTTGTAACACTTGAAGTTACAAGGAAAAAAATATGTTACACTGCTCTATGAGAAAGGGGGTCATGATAAATACACAGAGCTCCGAGTTCTTTAGTGTAGCCCCAGTGATTAACCAGATCATTACTGGTTTGGTCTCCAGAGCTCGTTACTGGGGATGGGTGACCTTCCTAACAGCCTGGTGGAACAGCAGAATTACTCACGGAGCAAAGAAAGAGTCGATTGCTTAACACTCACTCCATACAATAGTCTTAGGACCTGAAATACAAGTTTTCACAGCGCTGCTGTAGCCTTTACAAACGGCAAAGGCCCTGATTTTTTTTTCTATTCCAGCCAGGGAAACCAGGAAGAGCAGGGTGGTATCACTTGTTTTGGGAAGTCAACCAAAACGGTTCTTGGAATGAGGTTTTCTGCAAGACTGGGAAGTGAAGTGCACGAGCTTGCTCAATACTGAGCTCTCGAGTACAGGCACTGCTTCTCTCACTGCAAGGAGCACACAAGTCACACACAGGATCTTTGTTCTGGTGGGATCAGAGATTGCAAGCTGGAACTAAACAGGAATTTTATGCCACTGAGCTGTTGGTAATATTTCCCTATAGATGTTTCTAAGAATTTTTGGTTGTAAAAGGTATCTTATTTTAAGCATTTCTGATTTTAGGTATCGCTTGAAAAGCCCACACATGTGGTAGTTTTAATTCAGAGTATTTGCCTGTTTGAAGCTATTCCCTAACAGCAGACAGACACTGAGGAATCTTTGCATTTGGGAGCTTCCAGTGGTCTGTCTTCAGGATAAAAGCTGCCCTGGCTGCTGCTGGATCCACTGAACACAGCAGAGTCCCACTACCACAGTGAGAAACCACTGTATTAAGTGAAGCTAAACACTGACATTATGGGGAACATAACGTCTGACAATCTTGAGGGAAATATAGTTTTAATTATTCCTTTAAATAAACAGAAAGCCTACAATACCTCAAACATAAAAAAAGCTATGGCCAGGTCACTAAACTATGGGCTCAGCAGCAAGGCCAAGTGACAGCAGTGCCAATAACTCAGCTACTCCAAAATGATTAGACATCATATAATTGAGCACACCAGCACCACTATTAAACAGCAAAAACAGGGGGGGTGTTCATTGTCACCTGAGGCCACAGATAAGCACAGTACAGTCAGTGTAATAGGTAGTTTAATTAGATTATACATCAAAATAAAAACTGATAGTCAGGGAAAGAAATCCAGCCCCTTCCTGAAAACCACAACACATGCAGCTGAGGGCAAGCAGTGAAGAGCTTCAGATTAGCAAACAGCTTTCCTTTGCAAATCTGTTATTTTGATGCTCATTTTCACACTCTTTAAGCCCTCATTAAAAGAGGCCTTATTTAATTCTGGGTTAGAACTGACACAGTGACACTCCAGCCTACAAGGACACACTGCTTCAAACTCTAGCCTGATAAATATTGATAACACTGCAGAAGTTTACAATCCAGGAGCTTTTACAGTCATTATTCAAGTACAGTGGAGTAGAAGCATTAACCAGCAGAGAAAAAGTCTCTCCTAGTAACAGTTTTGACCATTCTTAAGACAGTCCTATCCAGAATTTACACTACAGACCTGACTCCTGTAAGCACGTGGATCTTTGGTTTCTTTGGCACAAAACCTTCACATACTCTCCAAAAGCATAATTCACAACACAGTATTTTTATTACACCAGCTTTTGCAGTTACTTTTTATCTACGTTGCTCTCGCTAAGAGGCTTTTACTACAATAAATTTGAGAGCAGAAACAGAAGAGTCATTCTGTGCTGTTAAAAAAAACCCAAAACACAAACCAACAAAACAAACAAAAACACACCCACCACGCACCAAAATCCAGAGATATTTTGGCCTTTCTATTAGAGAAGTCACAGATTTGTTAGGATTAGAAGGGATCTCTGGAGATCATCCAGACCAAGGCAGGGTCACCTGGAGCAGGCGACACAGGAACTCATCCAGGTGGGTCTGGAATGTCTCCAGAGAGGAAGACTCCACATCCTCCCTGGGCAGCTGTTCCAGTGCTCTGCCACCCTCAGTGTAATGAAGTTCTTCCTCATGTTGAGGCAGACCTCGTTGTGTTTTAATTTATGGCCATTGCTCCTCGTCCTGTCACTAAAAAGAGTGTGGCACCATCCTCTGACACCACTTATAAATATTTGTAGGGGTTGATGGGATCCCCTCTTACTGAAGAAAATAAATAATAATAAATTAAAAAATCCAGCAGACTACCAGCTCTAGCACACGTTACTGGACACACGGAGGGAAGAACGCTTCGCTCCCGCAGCCGTTGCTGTTGCA